TTTCCAGCACAACCCCAAAACATAGGCCCATACTAGCTACTATGAAGAAAATTAACTCTATGCCAGCCAAAACCAGCACGGCTGGTCCTGTCCTGGCACACCCCACTCTGCACTGGTGCCAGGGGCTCTGCGTTAAGGTATGGGACTCACGAGGGAATAGGAGCCATGTCTGCTGCCCCAGCATAACAGGGCCAGCCCCCTCTCCTCAAACCTGCTTCAACCCCACAGCCTCCTGCTGCAGGACCGGCTTCCAGCCTGAGGACTGAAGGGTGCCAGGCGTGGACTCCCTGCTGTGCAAGGCTGCGGGCAGCCAGGCCCCTCTGCAGCAGCGTGTGCCGCAGCCATAGCCCTGAGGCAGTGGCTGACCACAGCTCCCACACCTCTGCACAGCCCATACTCAGCCCCAAGCATCCTCCAGCCTTCTGGTGTGCACAGCCCAGCACTTGATGGCCTCATACTCCCTCCGGCACCATAAATTGATTGCATAATAGCTGTACTGTGGTTGATCCCAGTGTGCCCAGGAGCTTTTCAAACATGAGTGCAGGCATGCAGATCCATGTGCTCCTAGTGTGGCCTGCTGCACCCACCTGCTTCTCCTTCTGCTGGCGCCCCTTCCCGTGCTTTCTGAGCAATGCAAGGAGGGCAGATACCCCATCTCAGTGCAGCAGTGGGCACCAGGGAAAGGGCCTCCAGGGCTTCTTCCGTGTGGGCGGCAGCTCCAGCACCTGCTCCCAGCCCCTGCCTGACCGGTGCTGCTGTGGAGAGTGTGCCAGGGGACCAGGCAGACCCCCTGTCCCTGGCAGAGGGGACCAGGCTGACCCCCTGTCCCTGGCAGAGGGGAGCAGCCTTTTCATGCTGGCTCAGGGTTTGCTCATCCCTGTGCCAGTGTCAGCAGCAGCCTGAGCGAGTGCTGGTACTCCCTGGGGGTTGCTGCTTTTGGCTGGTGCTTTGTCACAAGCCCAGCTGCCCTCCAGGCCTTTGAAGCACTGCACAAGGCTTCTGTGCAGAGACGAGCCCTGCACAGACTGGTGGTCAAATGCACGTGACAGCTTGTGGGGGCTTTACTCCTCACAGGAGCCAAGCCTGCCTCAGCCCAGTGCTCCACTGGTGCTTCTGCTCCAGTCTCTCTCTCATGCTGAGATGTCCTAGTGCACCCAGCAAGTCTAGCTCAGAAAGCAGAGGGTGCTTGCCTCTGGCAGGTCTGGCTCAGTATGTCAGGGACAGGGACAAGCACACTGCCCTGAACATACTCAGCCTTTGGCTATTACTTCCTCCTGCCTGTGAGGTATTTCTTTGTCCTTTTTCCCCCGTATTTAGCATGCAAACCATAGAAAAGTTGATTTCTCACTGAGCTTTCCTGTTCTCTCCCTTCTCTCCAGAGAGTCTTGACAGCTGTGAAAGGAGTGCAGCGGGAGGATGGAGAGCAAGCCAGCAGTGAATGGCCATGCTGCCCCCACCTCTCACCAGGAAGACATGCCAGGAGCAAACCACTTGCGCCAGGACATATTGCCTTGCGAACAGAAAAAAGCAGCTAACGGGGATGTGATGGTGATGGGTGCTTTGGAGGCAGCTAGCAGCATTGCTGGAGTGTACGTAGAGGCTTCGAAGAAGATAATGAGCTTTTATGATGCCACCAGAGAGCATCTTCTGAGTTTGGATTCCGCACTCTGTCTTCTTGAGGCCCAGGCAGCCATGGGCTTCATCACTGACCCGGTGAAGAACAGGCATGTCTCCGTAGCAGAAGCTGTGCAGCTGGAGCTAGTGGGGCTGGAGCTGAAGGAGAGGCTGCTGTCTGCAGAGAAAGCTGCTACTGGCTTTGTGGACCCCTACACAGAAGAGAAAATCTCCCTCTACCAGGCGATCCAGAAGGACCTGATCGGGAGGGAGCAAGGTACTCGGCTGCTAGAGGCCCAGATTGCAACTGGAGGCATCATTGCCCCAGCCACTGGCTGCCGGCTCCCAGCAGATGTTGCCTGTGAGAGGGGATATTTAGACGAAGAGATGAGACAGCTCCTCTCTGACCCCAGCAATGAGGACAGCAAAGGGTTCCTCAACCCCAATACTATGGAGAGGGTCACTTATATGGAGCTTATAAAAAGGTGTGTTGTTGATCAGGCCTCAGGCTTCCTCCTCTTGCCCCTGCAAATCACGTTCCCAGGGCTGGGAGGGAGGGTGAGCAGCCGGGATCTGCTGGACTCTGGCATCATCAGCCCTGACATATTCAGAGGTCTTGAGGAGGGAAGAGTTTCTTCCCAGGAGGTAGCAGAGAACGACTCTGTTCAGCAGTTCCTGCGTGGGACAAGGAGCGTGGCTGGTGTTGTCCTGCCTTCCAGTGAGCGGAAAAGCCTTTACCAGGCACTGAGAGAGCATCTCCTCATGCCTGGTGCTGCTCTGATGCTCCTGCAAGTCCAGGCCTCCACTGGCAGCCTGACAGACCCCATAAAGAACAAAAGCTATTCAGTTGATGAGGCTGTCAGGGTTGGTCTCATCGGCCCAGAGCTTCATGAGAAACTGTCTTCAGCTGAGAGGACCATCACTGGATACAGGGACCCATACACTGGAGAAATGCTCTCTTTGTTCCAAGCCATCAGGAAGGGCTTTATCCCCAGGGATCACGGCATTTGCCTTCTGGAGGCTCAGATGGCCACAGGGGGTATAATTGCTCCAGGCAGGCACCTCCGCGTCCCCACAGAGACAGCTTGCAAGTGGGGGTACCTGGATGAGGCCACAAGACAGCTCCTCTCCAGTACTACTGATGACATTAAAGGGTTCTTCGACCCCAGCTCCAAGGAGAAGCTGATCTACGCAGACCTGCTCAAGCGCTGCGTCACTGATCCCAACACGGGGCTTCTTCTGCTGCCACTTGGTGGAGACAGCAGAGAAGGATCCAAGGGAACCCACCTCTTCTTTGACCATAGGACCCAAACAGCTCTGGAAAACACAGAGGTACCCATTGCTTTAGGTAAATTCAAGGGAAAGTCGGTGTCTCTCTGGAAACTCCTCTTCTCAGACTACATCCAGAGTGAGCGAAGAGCTGCTCTCACCCAGCAGTTTTTGAATGCTCTCTATGCAAGAATTGGGTAAGGCAGTCAGTGCCGCCATTGAGGAAATGGCTTCCACTGCTAATGTCACCTTTGAAGGACTGAGGGACCGTGTGACAGCTGACCAGCTCCTGAGCTCGGAAATCATCAACAAAGATTTGTTTAAGAAACTGAAGGAGGGAGAAACATCAGCCAAAGAAGTTGTCAGCATGGATACTGTCAAGAAGTATCTGCAAGGGACAGGTAGCATTGGTGGGCTCCTGCTTCCTGACTCCCAGGAGAAGATCAGCATCTACCAGGCAAAGCGGAAAGGACTTTTAAGGCCAGGAACATCACTGATCCTCCTGGAGGCACAGGCTGCTACTGGATTTATCATTGACCCAGCTGCCAACAAAAGGTATTCTGTGGATGAGGCGTTAAGAGCGAATGTCATTGGCCCAGATGTTTATGACAAGCTACTGACTGCAGAGAAATCAGTCACCGGCTACAGAGATCCTTACTCAGGGAACAAGATCTCCCTCTTCCAGGCCATGAAGAAGGAGCTCATCGTCAAGGAGCATGCTATCCGCCTGCTCGAGGCCCAGATCGCCACCGGTGGCATCATTGACCCCGTCAACAGCCACCGTATCCCCGTGGAGGTGGCTTACCGGCACGGCTACTTTGACAAGAAGATGAACTTAATCCTTTCTGATCCCAGTGATGACACCAAGGGCTTCTTTGACCCTAACACACATGAGAACCTCACCTACCTGCAGCTGAAAGAGAAGTGCATCACAGAGCCATCCACCGGGCTCTGCCTCCTTCCTCTGAACAGCAGGAAGCGTCAGTTCATCGATGACACCACCAGACGAATGTTCAGGAGCTCCTGGCTGCCAGTCAGGTTTGGGCGGTTACGAGGAGAGAAGGTCTCAGTCTGGGACCTGCTGAAATCCCAGTACTTCAGCGAGGGGAGGCGCCGAGAGATATTCAACCACTACCAGCTGAGGAAGCTCAGCCTGGAGCAAATTCGAATCATGTTAGAGGAGGAAATGAAAAAATGGGCCCCCATCAAGTTCCCAGCCATGAGAGGCAGCGTCAGCGCTTACCACCTCATGGAAACAGGTGTCATTGACAAGGCCTTGTTTGAGAAGGTGTTGGAAGGATCCGTCACACCAGAGGAAGTCCTGCACATGGACTCTGTCAGAAAGTACCTCTATGGCTCTGGCAGCATCGGGGGGATTGTGCTGCAGCCATCAAACCAGAGGATAAGCATTTACGAGGCCATGAAGAAAAACATCATGGTACCAGGAGTAGCCCTCCCACTGCTAGAGGCCCAGGCTGCCACAGGCTTCATCATTGACCCAGTGAACAACCAGAAACTCTGTGTGGATGATGCCATCAAGGAGGGAGTCATTGGGCCAGAAGTCCATGAGAAGCTGCAGCATGCAGAAGGGGCTGTAACAGGCTACAAAGATCCTTTCACAGGCAAGAAGATACCCCTTTTCCAGGCAATGAGGAAGGGTCTGATTGCTGACAAACAGGCCATGCAGTTGATGGAGGTGCAGATGGCTACAGGAGGCATCATTGACCCAGCATGTGGTCACTATATCCCCATAGAATCTGCCCAGAAGAGAGGGTGCCTGGATGAGGACACGTGCAAGGCCCTTTCTAAGCCCAGTGACAATAACAGAGCCTTCTGTGCCCCAGACAGCAAAGAGACCGTGACTTATGCCGAGCTAATCAAGCGCTGCCAGAAGGACGAGATCTCCGGCTTCCACTTGCTGCCTCTGCCACAGACAGCTGCTCCTGCCTACACCGACAAACAAATCCAACAGATTTTTAAGGAAACTGTGGTGAAGGAAAAAGGGGTCTCCCTCTGGGAGCTAATCCATTCTGGGTATTTCACTGAGGAGCAGAGGAGTGACTTTGTGGAGAGGTTCCAGTCTGAGGAAATGTCGCTGCAGCAGCTGGTTGCTCTTGTGCTCAGACTGGTTGGGGAGATGGAAATGAAAGCCCGCACCCACATCACCTTGGAAGGCTTGCGGGGCAGTGTCCCTGCTGTCTGGCTGCTGGATGCTGGCATCATTACTGAGAAGATGTTTGAAGAACTGGCTCAGGGCACAAAAACTCCTGAGGAAGTGGCTGCCATGGAGAGTGTGAACAGGTACTTGCAGGGCACAGGCAGCATTGCCGGGGTATTCATAGAGGCATCTAAAAAGAAGATGAGCTTTTACGATGCCATGAAAAACAATCGTCTCCTCCCTGGGGCTGCTCTGAGGCTGCTAGAAGCTCAGGCAGCCACAGGATACCTAACTGACCCAGCAACAAACCAGAGACTCAGCGTGAGGGATGCTGTGAAAGCAGCTGTTGTTGGTGAAGAGCTCACCGAGAAACTCCTTCTAGCTGAGAGGGCAGTGACTGGCTACACGGACCCCTACACGGGGAGCTCCATCTCACTATGCCAAGCACTAAGGAAAGAGTTGATTCCCCTGGGAGATGCTGTTCCCTTGCTAGAGGCCCAGCTGGCCACAGGAGGGGTCATTGATCCCATTCACCGCCATCACCTTCCCCTCCAGGCTGCGTGCAGATATGGCTTCTACGATGAGGATCTGAACCAAACCCTCTCTCAGCTGAATGAAAGCACCAAAATCTTTTTTGATCCAAACACAAAGGAGAACATGACCTACCAGCAGCTGAAGGACAGGTGCATTCAGGAGGCTGAGTCAGGTCTCTGGCTCCTTCCTCTGTCAGAAAATGCGATGTTCTGTGTGGATGAACAAACCATGGAGGTGCTGAAATCTGTGACTGTTTGTGTCAACATAGGGCGGTTCAAAGGACAGACAGTGTCAGTCTGGGACCTTCTCAACTCTGAATACCTCTCAGACAGCCAGAGAAGAGAGCTAGTGCAAAAGTACAAAGATGAGAATACTGAAGTGCTACATGAAATCGTAACAATTGTCACCACAATCATCGAAGAGACTGAGACACAAGGCACGAAGTTTGCATTCAAGGGCCTGCGGAAAAAAGTATCCGCCAGTGACCTCTTCCAGTCTCAACTGATAGACAAAAAAACCCTCGATGATCTCAACCAGGGGAAGAAAACAGTCAAAGAAGTCACTGAAATGGACTCTGTCCGCAGGTACCTGGAGGGCAGCAATTTCATAGCAGGAGTCCTTATACAGCCAAGCAATGAGAAGATGAACATCTACCAGGCCATGAGGAAGGGCATCCTGAGGCCAGGGACAGCACTGGTGCTGCTGGAGGCACAGCCTGCCACTGGCTACATCATTGACCCAGAGAAAAACAAGAAGTTTTCAGTGGAAGAAGCACTAACCGCAGGTCTAATTGGAGGGGAAATTTTTGAGAAGTTACTCTGTGCAGAAAGAGCCGTGACAGGCTACACCGACCCCTACACAAAAGCCCCGATGTCCCTGTTTGAAGCTATGAACCAAGGACTGATTGTGAAGAGCCATGGCATCCGCCTGCTCGAGGCCCAGATCGCCACTGGTGGCATCATCGACCCCGTGCACAGCCATCGTATCCCTGTCGAGGTGGCCTACCGGCGTGGCTACTTCAATCAGGAGATGAACCAGATCCTCTCTGACCCCACCGATGACACCAAGGGCTTCTTCGACCCCAACACCCACGAGAACCTCACCTACATGCAGCTCCTGGAGAGATGTGTCCAAGATTCAGAGACTGGGTTGTACATGCTGCAAGTTATACAGGAAGGAGGAAAGTACTTCTACATTGATGAGTTCACAAAACAGGTTTTGCGCTCAAAGCCCCTTGAAGTGAAAGTTGGAAAGTTTAAGGACCAAACAGTTTCCATCTGGGAAATTCTCTGCTCTCATTATATCTCTGAGCAGAAAAGGAAAGAACTAGTGATGCAGTACAAATGCAAAACCCTCGCACTGGAAGATCTCATAGCCCTCATCCTCAAAATAATTGAGGATACAGAGCAAAGAGCAGAAGCCCTCAAGGTTAAAGGACTCCGGGGGGATGTGTCAATATCAGAATTGTTTAACTCTGAGATAATTGACAAGAAAACTCTAGATCAGCTGCAGGATGGGAGTCTCACACTTGCCAGCCTCACAAAGAGGGACACCATCAAAAGGTACTTGGATGGCACTGGATGCATTGCCGGGGTTCTACTCCCATCAAAGAAAGAGAAGTTGAGCATCTACCAGGCCCTGAAGAAGGGCCTCCTCACAGAGCAATGTGCACTGGGGCTGCTGGAGGCACAGGCTGCCACCGGTTTTCTCATAGACCCACTGAAAAATAAGCAGCTCTCCGTGGAGGAGGCTGTCTCTTCTGGGCTGGTGGGTAGCAACTTGCACAAGAAGCTTCTGTCAGCAGACAAAGCTGTGACGGGATACACAGATCCTCAGGGAGGAAATAAAATATCCCTCTTCCAGGCCATAAGGCAAAAGATAATAGTAAAGGAGCACGGCATCCACCTGCTTGAGGCCCAGCTTGCCACCGGCGGCATCATCGACCCCGTGCACAGCCACCGTCTCCCTGTGGAGGTGGCCTACCGGCGCGGCTACTTGGATGATGATATGCTTCTCCTACTTTCTGATCCAGATCATGGTAGCAAAGGTTTTATAGATCCAAACACTCATGAGAAAATCAGTTATAGTCAGCTCCTACAGAGATGTTCCAAAGACAGAGATACTGGATTGTACCTGCTGCAGGTCATGGAAAAAGAGGATGATTATTTCTATATTGATGAGCAAACAAAAAATGCCCTATTATCCACAAAAGTAAAAGTGCCTGTTGGAAAATACAAAGGACATGTATTATCACTGTGGGAAATTCTCTGTTCTGAGTACATCACAGAAGACAAAAAAAAAGAACTGGTGAAAAAATATAAAGACAAATCCCATCACATTATACAAGGAATCATTGATACAATACTAAATATCATTAAAGAAAAAGAAGAAGGCAGAAATGATGTCTGGTTCCAAGGACTCAGACAAAAAATAACAGCATCAGAACTTCTCAGTGCACAGATAATTACA